AGATCGTGCCGTGTCCGAGTTTTCGCTAGCCCAGTTCGCTAGCCGCAAGCCGCTGATGATTAGCAAGGCTTTAGCACATAGGCCGTGCCGTACCGCAAGCCAGCGACAAGGGCGAGGCCTCGTGGTTCGATATTGCTCCACGTGCACAGGCCGCACGTAGCGAGCGCGCAAGACACGTTTCTCTTGTGCTTCAAGCGCGAAGAGCGCATGAGCTGACTGGCAAGCGAGCCTTTGTAGTCATTGGAGCAGGGCAAGCGCGGAGCTCAAAACTCAAGTGCACATTCGCTGACGATGTGATGGAAGCATGCAGGGAGAAAGAAACATGGGGTGTGTCGCTGTGGTCCTAGGTGATGACGCAACAGCCTTTGCAAGAGAGTATTTACGAGAAGCTTGGGAAACCTTTCCTGCTTGTCTGTGTAAGGCACACTGTAAGGTGGTGTCCCATTGTCGAAGTCGTACACAGTCCAGCAAGGGCGTGCCGTGTCCGAGTTTTCGCCAGCCCAGTTCGCTGGCCGCAAGCCTGTGATGATTAGCAAGGTTTTAGCAAACAGGCCGTGCCGTGCCGCAAGCAAGCAACACTTGCCGCAGGGTCAAGACGAAGAGGAGGATCCAGAGAAGCATCCAGTGGGGAGCTTATGTTGCCCGACTGCCTGCGACTGAAAGCTCGCAGACCACACGGGCAAACCCAGCAGAAGTAGACTTAGTCTCGTGCCCTTTCCTGACGGCCTTGCGTAGCGGCGTAGAGTGGTGGGTACGTGGAACCCCGTTATGGCTCCTTGCAGGCGAAGCCACGGCCGAATCCGAAGGGCAAGGCCTCGTGGTTCGGTGAGTCTCCATGTGCACCTAGCGAATGTAAAACGCGCTTGTTTCTTGCGGCTTCAAGCGGTCATTGGGGCATGGCAAGCGCAGAGCCTAAACACCGATTGGACATTTGGGCGATGGTGGGAGGTAAGTTCGCTGTCTTCTGTTCGTTAGGGTCCAATGGGACGCGCAGCGGTTTCAGTGCCAGATTCTGTTACCGAACAGAATCTTTCCATGTAGAGTCGAGAGTGGCGCAGGATTCGAACGCGATAGCGCCCGTCCGCAAATGCCAAACCCGGGTGAGCATGTCTTCGACAGATCCTGTTGTGTCAAAGTTTTGGCCAGCCCAGCTTGCTAGCCACGACCTGTGATGATTGGCCAAGCTTTACCACAAAGGCCTGCCGCAAGCAAGCGATAGCTCGCTGCAGGACCATAACGAAGAGGTGGAGCCAAAGAAGAAAGCGTCGCCAGTGGGGAGCTTATGTTGCCTGGACCACCTGCGACTCCGACCTCTCGGAGCGGTAGGTTGCACGTGTTGGATTGCTAAAGCCACACAGGCAAATCCCGTAGAAGTAGACTTAGTCTCGTGACCTCCTCACAGCCTTGCCTAGAGTGGTGGGTACGTGGAAAGTCGCAGCTGCCTGCAAATGCCAACGCAGGTAAGGCAATCTAATCGCTGGAAGAGGGAAGGGAGTCAACAACATGTTCGTTCGGAGACCGCACCTGCGGGACCTCCGGCCTCGGTGGGTAGCTTTTGCAGGTGCTTCGAGCAGTCTGCCAGAGAGTAGCAACGCGTGGCGTATTGTCGAATGTCACAGACCGAGCAGACGCATTGATGTACGCCAGGATCGCAAGGTCGTCCAACATAGCACGGTGCACTCAAAGGACTCCAAGAACAACGGTTTTGTCAACGTGCGAAATTATGATCAAGAGAACCATTCCGTAATTTGTAGATTATGCAGGAGCATGGGAGCCGTGGCGGTGACGGAAGCAGTGGCAGTAGGGCGAGACCACGGGGTGAAAAGCAGGACAATATCTCGCTTTGCTTGATGCTAGTGGTGCATGCGAGCTTGCCGTTCTTCGCCATATCATTCAGAAGCTGCTAATTGTCAGCTGGACCGGAGGATCGCAGAACGGACACCATACCTGAACCTGTGCTTGGATCCGTGCCCTCCCAAATTCGCATGCTTTGGCAGTTTCTGCGGCTCAGACGAATTCTGTGGCTGATCAGGGTCAGGTACAAGATGCGCATGTCGCAGACCGTCAGGCTCGTCGAGCGTACACCGAGCATCCATGTACGGGGCATGGCATGGCTGTGTCCGAGGCAGCTGCTTTCAACGCGATCCCAGGTGCCCAACTGCTGCCAGATCCACCGGCCACTTGGATGAACCTGGTCGTATGAAGTCGCGCACAACATTGCGGCGTCCTCTCAGGAAAGCGATGGATACACAGGGAAGAAGCCTGGCCCGGAGGTTCTGTTTCTGCAGGACCTGTGGCAGTTGAGACGGGATGGTGTGACCAATCTGTTTTGCTTGCATCGTGACAGGATCCGCGGAAGTGGCCCGCATCGATGAAGGCTGTGGCGATGTGCTGCGATGTGTTTGCAATTCCTTCGTTCCGTCCGGCCAAGGCGCGTGACCCAGCAGCTGCTCGAAGCAGCTCCTCGGCCGAGCTTTGCGCCTCAGGGGGGACTGGGAAGTGATGCAACGCCCCCGCGCGGTCAGGCTTGGTGCAGGTCCCGGCTGTGCCGGATCCTTATCACAAGTTGGACGGGGCAACGTAAGCCACAGCAGCCTTTCAGGCACCTGCATCGTCACTTGGCCACTCCAGAGTGGAAGCCTTGACTGACTGTTTGCAGAAGGCGGCGGGGGGCTGAGACGGCTGTTTGAGCTTGAACATGCTTGAACAAGGCTTGCCGGAAAGACGTCCTGACGGCCCAGGAACAGCTCTGCACAAGTTGTCAGATTGAAGCTACGAAAAGAAGCGCTGTGCCTCGGGAACGAGTGACGAGCCGCCGATGTGGAATTGACATGAATCCAGACTGGTCAAAGCAGACGGAGTTGCTGCTTGTACCGTTGACGTCTGCAATGTCTGCAAGATGCACGTATGATCGTGCCAATTCCGGATTGTGCTTCCTCAAAACTCAAAAATCCTGTTTAAGCTTAGGTCGGCTAGCCATTCCAACGTTGCCGCTGCGATGGGTTCAGATGGCTCGAACACACCCAGTATCTGCGAATGCTTGTTCATTAATTGTTGCTTGAGATGCCCATCCATGTTGATTTTCAGTTAGGCACTGCGGTAAACTGCGTTCTTTGTGAGTCAGTGGCCATGGAGCCCCGAGAGCAGCGTCAACCACGCGTTGCGGCTCCTTCCGAGGCTGCGGCCTCAGCTCCTGAGCTAGTCTGAAGCCTCGCTGTTAGAGCCCGACTCAACCATAGCGGCCATAGCAGGCTGTATCTTGATGCGATTGATGTGTTCTCAAATGTGTATGCACTGCAAGTCTGAGGATGCCAGGTGAAAGAGATTCGGGGAGAATCGGGGTCTTTTGTGATCATGTAAGCATGGTCTCTGTCGCGAGTCGAGGGTGGAAAGTTGGACTGTTGTGGATACGCAGGCATCCGCATTTCGTAATGCATGTTCGCTTGTGTCCGCCTGCATGCCAGAGCGCCACTCCAAGGAATTCCAGATGGGGCAGACTGGCAGCCAAGCTCTCAATCGCTGTCACCCTCTCACAACTTGGGTCACTGCTGTATTAGCTTTGGTGTTGTGTTGAGCGTCAGAGTAAGGTGCAGCTTCTGTGGCCGCTGTAGCCTGTGGCATTCTACTGGCTGGGCGGCTGTCTTTGGAAAGCTTGATGTACATGGGCTTCTTGGCATTCGACCTACCTTAGCAGCTTAACATGCCTGGCTCCTTTTTGCCTGCACCACAGTGAGCAGCTGCCTGTGCAAAAGACGCACCTCCAGGCTTCATTAGCATGTCTGGCAAGACCGCCCTCACGTTGGCCGCACTGGCTTCGCTCAGTTATGTCTACGGCTTAAGCATCATGGGAAGTGCTTTCCCGACATGACAGCATGTGCAGTTCATTTGCTCAGGTCATCTGTGGACCCTTGCTATTGCAAGCACGCCTGACGAAAACAATAGGCCTTTCATACAAGTGCATCAGACCTGCAGAAATCCAATCGTCCTTTCTTGCAGGCCAAATGCTCGTGGACAGGGTCCTGAATGCCCAGCGCAACTGGGAGTTGCGCACTCAAAGAGTTGTTACATTGTTCTTCTGCACCGTCACATCTCATTGACGACTGCTTTGTGCGGCGTCATCTCAACGGCAGGGGGGGCAGGGGCGGGGGCAGGGGCGGGGGCAGGGGCAGGGGCAGGGAGAGGGGCAGGGGCAGGGGCAGGGGCAGGGGCAGGGGAGGGGCAGGGGCAGGGGAGGGGAAGGGGCAGGGGCAGGGGCAGGGCAGGGGCAGGGCAGGGGCAGGGGCAGGGGCAGGGGCAGGGACAGGGGCAGGGACAGGGCAGGGGAGGGCAGGGCAGGGCAGGGCAGGGCAGGGCAGGGCAGGGCAGGGCAGGGCAGGGCAGGGCAGGGCAGGGCAGGGCAGGGCAGGGCAGGGCAGGGCAGGGCAGGCGCAGGACTTTTTGCCAA